CGGCTTCCAGCACCAGTATTCACCAGGCACCATGATTAGAACACAATAAAAATTACAATCATTTATTGAAAACTTACTACCCACTTATCCGCAGCCATGGAGATCCTTGGCACTACCGATCTGAACAATTTCAACAACCTCACAATGACACTAAGACGTCAGTAACGGCTGATAATGAACCCATGCAGTTTTCGCCCGCCTCTCAATACTTCAGCTGGTGACGCAACCAATGTATCTGAGCAGAGGCTTCTTTCACGCATAAATCTAATTGCCCGGCCTTGAAAGAAGACAAAAATGACTTAAGTGACCAAGGTGCACAAATCCTGAGGCCGAGGACACATGACACGTGGTACTACGATGACAAGCCTCTAGCAGCAAGATTTATGTTATACGACGCCTGCCTGGCAGGGTCGTGCAAGTTTACTGTCGCCTACCAAGCAAAAAATGCGCCTAGTCGGCTATTAGGGGAGTGAAAATAGACATCTACAGAGTACTGTCTACGCGGAAGACAGCTCCTGAGGGGCATCAAGGTTTATCGCATTGGATGCCACTTTTGTCGGCTCAAGAAGTCAAATGAATGCGACGCAGATAGATCCAAACGAGAGGGACAGAGCTCGACATCTAAAATACGCCGCGAGTAACCACACTCCCTGCCAACGCTTCTTAGTGGCGTAGTTACTCGTCGCTCGTCTCACTCGCGTCCTTTCCATCTCAAGCAAAGAGGCGACTAGGGTGACAAGCGCTGCGCAGGCATCAGTAGCATGCGAATTAATCACTGAGGTGCAGGAAAACTAACCACCTGAGACATTGTCTAGTGCATGCAGCTCCCTGTAGAGTACACAGCGATGTGCTCTTTCATATCTAGATACGATAATGCTAATTAACCCGCACAATGCGCTTCAGGTCTGCTTATGCCTGCTATCATCTAATTCGCGTGACGACACTTGCGTAACGCAGGGGATACACGCCCTATCTTTCAAGACGACTTGGGCGCCACGGCGACTCTAGGGGGGCCTGAAGTAGATATACTTCGTAAAGGCCTTTCTTATCCAAATGACCACTACATCACTTTCGAAACGAAATTGTAACTAACAAACAATCCTCGACAACCGCCTCAAAGGTTACTTTCAGACTGGAGAATGGTTCTTGCAGCTAAATAAAGTGCAATATCATCCGCAGAACTCCCACACTGAAATTTCACTACGGAATAGGTGTCGTGAATATATCTTTAATGGGGAAGGATCAGTGCGGTTGCTGCTCACCGACGGCTGTCAGTGAATTTTATGTTTTTATTGCGCGATGCAAAGCTACGCATTAGTCAGTTCTGTTCAGGTCTAGTCTACTGTACCTCTGGGTGAGTGGACCGCTCACGAAAATAAACCAACTGGACTTCTAACCCTTGTTTACTGTGCGCCTAACCACTAGCGAAACAGCAACTACTGTCAAATAAGACTTTTACGGGACAATTATTTAGACGTAAAAGGGCTTTACAAACAAATTTACGTCAGAAATTGAAGACGACCAAAATAAGCGGCCGTTCTACCGTATTTATGCTGATACCAAAGTAAGCCATTGAAGGCAGCCCAGTGACTTCAAAGATGTAGTGGAGCCGATGGTACTGAGTCAAAGGTCAAGATTTGCCAACTTACGATAAGCAGTCACTGTTACACGAAAGGAACTTGGGTCCTCCGAGGGATAAGACTTGAATTTAAGCATCAAACCGAAGCCAACGTCTGAAGTTGTAAGCACTTGGTCAGCCAATTTTTCCGCGTTTTTGCAGGTGGCTTCTGCCTTGGGAAAACCAGGATTAAGGTAAGAAGGAATAGTTTGCAAATGTACACAAAGACAAGCAAGTGAGAGAACCGCCAGCACTCCCGTGTAAGACATAGAGCTACCTCGGAAAACAGTCGCGTGCTCCAAACGCCGAAGCTTAAAAAGTCCACGGCATTTCAAAGGATCACAAAGCTCCTGACTGACTGAGACTTCGTTCCTTTGGGCGCAGATGTGATTCTGACCGCAACTCGATAGGCCTTCACCTCATTCTCGAACACGATAGATCAGGTTGAGGTTCTGTTGACTGTGCCACTAGGAGTTTAAAACTTAATGAAATCGTAAAAATGGGCTGACGCGGGCGTCGGGCTTAAACGACCTAGCACTTAATCGAGATTTATTCTGCGGGATTTAGTAGACAGCATGGAAGCGAAATTCATCAGGAGCAGGTTTCATACTAGGCAGCGCGTAAGGCAGACGCCCGGATACTCCTATTTTTGTGGAAGACGAACGGCCATTGTCTTTCGATGATCCACTCAAATGAGCAAGGGGCGTCGCTAGTGTTTTTCACCCATAGGCGTGTACAGCAAAAAGCTACAAAAGGTGTGAGGCCTGTAAGCAAAATCTAGAATAGGGAATATAGGTCTCAGAGTTACTCAGTGTTACCTGTGATATTCAACGCGCCTATCCAATTTAGGCTTCTGTTTAGTGCATTACGTATTGATTAACGACTGGGAGTTTGATAGGGGCAATGAATGTCAAGTTGAGATGAAATGTTGATGGGAGCGTCAAATGCGATGCCTAAAACTGGACCACAGCAAACAGACACTCAGATTGGCCAGTAACTTCGGCAGGACGACAACGGCGCACGGGATATCGGACTCCGGAACGATACAACTAATTATATCTAGATTGGTCAAGGATTTCCTTGTTTTGTATTTACGGAATTGCTCGGCCATTTGACCCTTTCCCGCCCGGAATCGCAGAACTCTGACCGGCAGGTATCTTCAGGGGATGGCAGAGATGCGGCCTGATCGGTGAAAACAGTACAAGTCCATTGAGCGATCACATGCAGGGCGGTACTCGAAACATGCAGCAATAATACCAAAGCACTTCTGGTATGGCCGTGCCAGTTTACGTATACTCACCTTCTTGAACAGTGACGAATGGGAACTACCAGTTCCTACTTGTGTGTATCATCCTCGGTGGTCAAGCTTTCAGTGCTGTTTGATAGCACCAATCATGGACTGCATCCTTAACCGTCCAGCGCACTCCGCAACAAGGCCGAGGGTGACAGAGGTTAACAATGACTACACAAATGTCCCTAACCCTAGCGATCGATTTGTCGTTTCAGAAAGACAGTTATGCAGATATTATTATCAATGGCCTCCCTAATGGAGGTGTCGGGCTTCTTTGTGAGGGTAAGCTGTTTGGCGTGAAATTATAGGAGGGCATCGATTCGCAGAGGTGTCCGATGCAGGTTAAGCGATTCTGATCTCATAATTATGAGACAACCAAGTAGTCACGCTCGCAGAACTCACGACTCGAAGATTTGTAGGGACGACCATAAAATGGGCAGGGATGATAGAGTAGAGGAATCATCCGAAAATAAATTGGACGTGGGACTGCCGGCGGTTTTAGATAAGTGCCGTGTTTGGCAAAGATTCCTATGAAGGACGGGTAGAACCATGACTCATCATCAAGAAAGTTGAAACTGACGGACAATGAGGCCTGCCCAAATTAAAACGATAAGAATTTTGTTCCACGGACTCTAAAGGCACCATCACGGCGTCTTATTAGAACGCCTAACCGTAAGACACCGTCGTCGTCGAAGACGATGTTGGTGGCGGTGGTTGTGACGACCTGCTGTCTTACAAGCCCATGCGGAAGCTCCTTTAACAAGTATGCGCCTAAGTCGAGACAGGATCTCACCCCTCGAAGCCTATGTTCGACTTGGAGCTAGGGTATCAGTTCATAAATGGTTAAGTGCTAGGCACACAGAAGTGCACCGCATTTTGCTGTCTTTGTCATTCGGTGCAAACGACGTAGCCCGAGACTTCGTTGAAGAATGCAGACCGCAAAGCAAGAAGAAAACACTTATGGCAGTTTGCATCATGTTTGCTTACAAGTAAGTTGACGTAGACTGGGTCTTGGAGTTTGGCGGAAACATTTCCTCCATTCTGCGCGAGCTGTAACAACGAAAGTTTGTATTGCGAAATACGAAAGGTCGAGCAATCTCCAAGCAGATGAAGGCTATCAATGCGGACGCTGAGGAAGGAAGCTTTATCCGCTGGTCGAATATAACAGATGCTTTCTCGGCCGTTTGATCGTCCAAACAAGACAAGGCCCTCGGCAACTATTGGACTAGACACGCCTGCAAAACACTCCACAGAGTTAACTTTGGAGGTAGACAGATAGAGAAGTACACGCTGACCTACCAAATACGGTGCTCGAAAGCACCGGTTTAGAAAACATCCAGCAAAGCACGATCGCCGGAATAAAAGACCTACAAGAAATGATGACAAAAACGATTGTGAATGGCAAAAGTTACGTGCAGAAAGATTCGCTAAATATATTTTGAAGTTGAAATAATGATCCGCCCTAGGAAGATCTTTTGGCCAATTTTGTATGAGAAAGAGTGCAACGACGCGACTTTCTACTGACGTTTTAAAAATCAGATTCCAGGCAATTTAGGAAGACCGGGTGGAGAGGAGAAGTGAGGGAAAGAGAGACTACTAGACAACATAAGTAAGGTTCCAAATTGACAACTAAGAACCGGGAAATAGTCCGTTCTGTGTTGAAACTGAAATAAAGATAACTTGTATATGCAGGACGATATAAACAGGTCCTATTCTTGGCAGATTGTACGTTTAACTCGCCTTTGCAAAGATGATGTCTGTCATTTGTGCCGAAGTTTTTGGAAATTATTTACGAGTGTTTAAATAAACTAACTTGCAAGTTGCCAGTTATCTCGAAAACAAAAAAGCTGATTGAGGAGCCTATTATGAAGGGGAAACAATTGTACAGCCTTCGCGCAGACGCCAAGTTACGCGCACCAAACAAAGAATGCTTACATGCGAAAGAGGGACTGAGTGGCCTTTCCGGTCCACACAGACGTAGTGGCGGGCAATTCCATACAAGCAGTCCGGTCGCGAGCTGGAGCGATACACCCACTCCTAAGGAAGAGTCGAGGTGGTATTGACCCTGGAAAGGGATCGGTCCTTTCTGATCCTGATCGAGTTTTTCACTTAGTGATATCAGACGCGCGGCGTAAACAAAGAATGCGCAGGCGGAAGATTAGGAGATAAAGCTTCCAGCAATCAAAGTCGCCAAAGAGACAAAGTTCTGCAAATGGGGTTAGGAGGACACAGGGAGACTGAAGGTACAGTGCAAGTAAGTGTGTAAATGTGAAGGAGAAGGCAGATAATGACATCGGAGACTCATTTGGTGGTCGGGCAGGGATTCCTTTGCTGACTTGTTGACACACTGTCATAGGCAACGCCAAAGTGATACTCAAAAACGTCAACTGTCAGCGCAGTCACAGCACTGGTGGGCCAGCGGTTGGAAGTGTGCACTACTCGTGAGAGGTTGAGGCTCAAACAGCACATTCTAGTGATAACAGACCTAAAGTATAAGATTGACAGGCTCGAAACTCTCGTTGTTAAAGTCTTCTGTTTGGAACTCCCATCACAATCAAAGTTCTTAGGCATGAGCTTCTTTTGAGGACGAGGTGTTGACTGAGGTTATAGATTCGTAATGGTTGAGGAGGCAACAATAGTGCTCACTGAGGGCTTCCTTTGCAATTTCATAAAATACATTGGTAAAGTCGACAGGGCTCTATTTGGCCAAATCACTTACAACCATTCCTAAACAGGTTAAAAACAAGGCCTGTCTTCGGTCATTTCGAAATGTAAGACATTCCGAGAGTTGCACTAAACAGACAATAGTCTGTAGGCAAGACTACAGTAAGAAACTTAAGGAAAGGGTGCAGGGCGTTTAGCCTTGGGGTCTTATTGGCTTTAAGGGGGAAGACTGCAGACTGTCGGCAGATGAATTACGTCCTTCATTCAGAAAATTGTAACGAGAGAAAGCGTGACGTGACCGTTTGCTTGCCCATATGGAAAATGCGGGCAAGTTGCTCGGCAAGTGTAGAACCAGTCCCCGTGTCAAATTTTTAAATAGCACGACTCTTTTGGGAGAGATTTCGAACGTGATGCTTATCCCATGCCTGCAAACATAACTGGAATATTTCTCTAGCTGAACTCTAGTGTACTCAAAGTGGCCGCTGTTTGAGTGAGCCCACCCACGTCTTGTGAGAGATTGTTACCGCTCGACTTATAACCAACGAGGTTCCTCGTTACTTGCGCCACCAATCCACATCATAGGACTTTCCATCCGGTGGTGGTTCTATGAATTGCATTAGCAATCCTTTTTGAAGGGTCTTTGGACAGTACATTCGTTTTATGGATGTAGAATAATCAACAGAGGAAAAATAACTAATAAGAAGCATCTGCAGACTTCAATGTTGGAAAATCTCAACCCACTAAGCAACGAGAACCGCAGCCACGAAGTGATAGTTTGCTAGGTATTAGGGAAGGCATATAGGTGATTTTACACTCGTTGGTGTCGGATAGTCTAGAGAATCAGGCAAACAAGAGAAACAATAACTCCAGGGACAACTCATGCGTAACTCTGCAGACGTTAGCACACAGGTCAAATCGACATATGTGTCTGGTTCTCTCAGAACCTTGTATAGACGGCAAAGGGGGGGTTGAAAAATTCGGTAAGAGGACTTTTTGTTCTTGCGGTGCCGTGGCAACTCAACGACTTCTGGACCCGAGTAGCCACCTGTCGCTAGCGAGGAGGAGTCGTGACGTATGAGAGAGAAGGCGCACGGGTCAATCACATGAAATTTGAAGTCTACGGTACTCATTGAGTCAGATTCGGAGCTACAGGGGTTAAGCTGGGCCAATAGCTTCGGCAAGAAAATAGCTCTCAACTTCAATAAGCATCCCATGAAAGTAATGAAGTTGGTGAAAGTATGGCAGACTAGTACAGTGTCTACCCGTTTCCGCGGCATTTACTATAGTCAAATTACCCTAAGCAGGCGGCTGCTTTAGTCGTGAGAACATATTTCCAAGACTATAGAACTCGTTTGACACCCACCTTCGTTAGCGAAGGTGGTTGTCGTCCGGCAGTGGGTACGGTTTGATGACTTCGGCACTGAGTGGACGTACTTATGGTCACCGGGTTTTACAGCTCTCTAAACGTCAGGTCCAGAAATGGACAACAGGACAACTTAATTTGACCCAATAGCGGTTCTATGTCGGGAAATGGCACTGGTTCATTTTTGCACTCCCCCATCATAGGGATATTACTATCACTTGATTGAGTCGTTCTGGATCGTGAAGGAACACAACGCGCTAACCCCAAGAGCCAAGTCATATGCGGTAAAATCAGTGAAAATGCCGATGTACTGAAAACCCTTCAGATGCATCTGAAGGGTTTTCAGTACATGGCCATGGCCGCGGCCAATTGGTCCTTTCTTGACAGCACATACTAGTATGTGATGTTTGAGCAAAAAGAACATTCTTCTCAATACGAAGCAAAATGATGCATTTGTTTTAGAAAAAGCAGGAACCTAGTGCAATAAAAGGAAAAAGTCTCGAACTTGATCAGAGCCCGAATCCAGTTAAACAGCTATTGGGGCTGAACAAGGCGACGGCC